CAGAGCAGAATTCCTTGGCTCCAGAGCTCTGGAGCCGGAGTTTCTTGGCATTCTGAGTGCATTCCTTCTCCAGTGTGTGCTCAGAATAACTTGGGACTTTTTGGAGCAGAAGTGGGACAAACGTTTGCAGACAGAACAGTCTGGGCTCCCTTAGGGCTGCTGGGCTCTGAGAGTGCATCAGGGTTTGTTCATGGCTCTAACTGGGCTCTAATCCCCTGCTCTGACTCAAATCATCCAAAAATCCTGTCCTGAGCTACAGCAGATGCTGCTGATGGTTGTGCACTTGGAATGTTGCACTTGTGTTGGGAGGAGAGGGAAGTTTCAGGATAAGTAAATGCATTTGACCTTTTTTGGTCACTTGGATTTTGGCTTATGAGGATGGACCTTAATGAAAGCCACAGGTCAGCCTGAAACTTTAAACAATTTTTTGTGCAGTTTTATGATTTTAAAGTAGCTTTGGTTTGGATTGCAGTGGGCCAGGTAAAGTTTAATGGGATGGGGATTTCAGCCTGTGCTGTTACTGCAGTGTAACTCAGGCTTTGCTTGAAGTTTGGGGGCTCAGATCAGTTCTGAGTCAAAGAATTATTTCTGCTTCAAAGCATCAATTACCCTGGGCAGTACAGAATATGTATTTTCCTTAGATGGGATGCAGTGTTGTGTTTTTCAGTCCCTTTTTTCCAAAGGTAGATCAGACCTGACACGTGGCAGCAGAAAAAAGCAGATGAATATAAATCTATAATTTACCTGTAGGAAATGTCAGTTCCAGTGTAAACATGGGAGGGGGAATTGCTGAAATCCAGCCTGCTGTGTGCAGGGACAGTGAAGGGTTAAATATTAACATTATCCTTTTTCTAGATGCTTCTAGAATTCAGCCTCCTGAGCAGACACGTGGCAGAGTTTAAGACAATCCATTAACAATAATCTGCTGCAAGTTTGACCCTACTATCCAAAGATAAAGCTGGCAATTTGTAATTTATGGCAGAATAACAACTTCCTTTCTCTGTCAAGTCTTCATTAATGACTCTAATAAAGGTTTGAAGAAAACTGATTCTGTATCTACAGCAAGGACAGGAGGGACATGTCAGGAATGAGTCCATTGTAGGAACAGTAATTAATTTAAAAATACTCAGCTCTATCTGCAAAGGCCCCATGACTTTACAAAACCCCAAACAGCTTTCTGAATTGAAGACAGCTTCTCTGAAAACTCTCTCTTTTCCTGGCCTTTGAAAATCCTGCTGTTACTCTTGTTAACTTTCAAAGTCTTTCTGAATTCCCCTCACTGTGATGATGAAAGAATTGGCCAGGCTTTGAGAATTGCATGGATGAAAATCACTCTTGGAAGGACTCTAATAATAACAATAATAAGCAAAATCCATTGAAACTCATCTGATATAAAGTACATGTCAGGATAATCTGACATATTTGGCTGCTTTAAGTACTGAACCAGTTCTCAGAGGATTGAATTTTATAACAAAGGTTTCCAGTGCCTCATTCTAGCCCAGAAAAAACGAAAATTTTCCAACTGAGCAATGCATCCTTCATTGTCAGAGCAATGATGAGATGGGTGCTATCACTGGCAGCTCACTGCTGCTTTCTAATGGGCCTTTGTGGTGCTGGGACAAAGACTGATTGATCAATTGCCTATAAAAAGTGGCTTTGGGATATTATTTAATTGTCAGTGAAGTCTCTATGTACTCACAGTTATGTCTTTGCTCACAACACCTGCAGTACAATCAATTCTCAGTTCCTGGAGCCCTGCACAGGGACAGATAGAGGCACTGGCCTGGGGAGATGACTCCAATGAATTGGAGAAGAAAGGAAAAGGAGTAATAAAGAGAAAGAGCAGCAGTGCCATTGGAAAGCTGCCCTCAGAAGGTGTGGCTGCTCAGCTGCCAAGGGCACTGCAGCCTGGCACAGATAACTGAAATATTGCTCTGTGCATTTGCTCAGCACCTGGGGGACGTGACAAGTAAAAACTTGACAGATGTGGCAATTTCAGTTGTACTGAGTGTGTGTTTAACCACAGCTGCTCCAGAGGCTGGGAGAGGAGCAGAGCCATCCCTGCCCTCATTAATTAACGTTATTTTCTGTTCTGTCTGCAGGCTGGCAGTGATGGGGAGAGCATAGGAAACTGCCCCTTCTCCCAGAGGCTCTTCATGATCCTGTGGCTGAAGGGAGTCGTGTTCAGTGTCACAACAGTGGACCTGAAAAGGTAAGAAATACTTTAATTATTGGGGCAGCAAGAGCTCAGCACCCTCAGTGAAACAAAACTTTGGCCAGAGCTTCTATGGCTCACAGGCTGGCTTTGTGAAACTAAAATCTGTCCTAATAATTAACTGGATGTAAATGATGCACTCATTGGTGGTTTAACCAAAAATAATGGTAAGTTCTCTTGAATTTGTTCAGTGGTTCTCTTCTGTAAAACTCACACAAAGCCTTTTGTAAGTGAATATTGACCATTCCTTTCCTGACTTCACATCAAGATGCCCTCAGTGAGGACAGATGGATATTTTTAGTCAGCTACTCTCTGGTCAAACCCCATAATTGTCACAAACAACGTGCAGCCTCCCCCTTTTCTTAATGTTTTTAAGATAATTTTGGTTATTGTGCAATAATAATGAAAATACCTACCCATGAGGTAAATCCAAGTGAAATGGGCAGGAATAAAATGCAGAATATTCTGCCTTTGTTCAGGGTCAGCCAGATAAGCCATGGTGCTGTCACCTAAACTGCAGCTGCTCCCCTGTAAATGAGAACCTTGGTGGCTGAAACCAGAGAGAATGAACCCAGGAGCCTCCATTTCCTCAGGCTGGGCATTCTGTTTTATGGAAGTGCTAAATTCAGCAGGGGCCTTGTGTTTGCTTTGGGTGTGAAGTCATGTTTTCCCAGCACTGATGGAAAACTCTGCTGGCCACAGCTCTGCAGAGGGGAGGCTGCCAGTGCCTCCAAACCTGAATTTCAGGAATAAAGCCAACAGAAACACAGTGTTCTGCACTGAATCCAGCTCAGAGGGGAGAAATCACCCTGCTGGCCTTCAGCTCTGGGGGTTTTGTGGAGGGAGGTGACTTGTTTGGGTTTTAAAAATCCCTGAGGTTGCTGCTGCAGTGCTGGCAAGGAGAGTGAAAGGCTTCCATGTGTGGTGAGGGGCAGAAAGCAGCTTTTGTCAGCCCTGGGTGCATTTGGAGCTGCTCAAAGAGCTTTTCTGGCCAGAGTGGGGTTTCCCTGCATTGTGTGCCATAACCCAAACGTGGCACATCTCCCACCAGCCCTGCTGTGGTTTCTGCAAGCTCAGGGGCAGAGCTGCTGCTTGTGGGCTCTTGGAAATTTGGGATTTCCTTTTCCTTTAGTGATGGGGTTGTTTAACCTGTTGCAGTTACTGGGGTGGGCAGAGATATTTTAGGTTTGAAAGGCTTTTTACTGCTGAACCAGCTTAGATATCATTAAAATGCCAAATATTCCTGATGAATTGGCTTTATTTTGTGTCCCCTTGGCAACTTGGAGTTAACTGGGGGGGGGAATGGGATGTAAGACTAACTTTTAGCCTATAAATTGGTTGCAGATGTTTGAAGTTGACCTTCCTTACACAAGGAAAGCTTTCTTTCAGGATTTTTTTTCCTGTTGGGGAAGGGGAAACACAAAATAAGTGCAAAATTCAAGCTCTGCAGGGGAATAGGTCAAATAAACCACGTTTGTGTTGTGCTCTGAAGGGGTTCTCTGGGAAAGGACACAAAGAACCACTGCAGCTAATTCAGGTTGGAATAGATATTGATACAAACTGAATTCCTTTTAGACTTTATTTAGATGTCCTTAAATACAACTTTAACACTGGACTGATCAATAGCCAGAGCAGTGCAGCTTGCAGGACATCCCATCCAGCTGAGTGCTGGGCAGGAAATGTTTGATATCACATGTTATCACTGCCAGAATGATAATGGATGTTAGGTGGTGCCTTCATATTGCCACAAGAAACTGCTTTTGTGAGCACTTTATTCAAGCCAATTATCTCCTCTGCTCTTTTTGAGTTTGTGTCTAACAGGAACAGAGCAGAGCAGGAATTGTTTAAAAAAACTGAATTTATTTTGTTGGCCAAAACCAGAAAAAAGGAAAAAAGGCTTTGCTTGCCTCTGCCTCATAACATCAGTGCTGCACAACAGCAAGGCCAGCTCTGTTTGTGAGCCTGAAAAGGTCATGGTTGGGTACAAAAGTTCACAAATAAGGGACTTGGGACACAGGAAAATCTGAGCCTGCTCCTCCTGCCCGAGTGCTTCCCCTGCAGAGCTGCCCTGAGCTAACAAAGGTACATTCTGCACTGCCCTCAACACAAAATGTGCACACAGGCAAGGGAGGAGGGCAGTCCCACCCTCTGCAAGGAGTCAGGCATTTCTTCCCTCTCTTTGGGCACACAGAGGCTCCATTCTTCCCTTCTGGGCAGCAGCCCTGCAGTGCCCAGGGCTCTGCCCTGCACAAACCGTTTGTTGGCCTTGGAGCAGCACTCAGGGCCAGCTTGCCTTCAGCTGAGGCCTGAAATCCTGATTGAAGCATCTTCATTTGGAGGTTTTGCAGTTCCTCTGACAGGCAAAGCTTTAATTATATGAAATATTCAAATTAAATATTAAAGACCACCCAGAGGTCAATCCAACTTGAGCAGAGTGAAATGCTGCTGAGGAATTGGGGTTTTAGTGCTGACTGACTTTTCCCCATGTTACTCTTCAGCTCCTCATTGCAGTATTTGTGTAATTTATAAATGTGTTACATTTGGGGGCTGGAATTTGTCTGCTCTACAATAAATAATTTGCATGCTAATTACTACTCTGGTTTGTGGCAAAGCCGTGAGGTGTTCACACCTTAACTCTGAGGGCCAGATAATGAATGTGGCCCTGCCTCCAAAACCCCTGGTAAACTTTGGGGTAGGCACAAACCATGTTGGAATTATTTGGAGTGGTTACAGAAGGGGTTTTTGTTTGGGTTTGGTTTGTTTTTTTAAGCTCTCCAGCTTTATCTCAGAAGGAAAACATCCCTGTTACAGTAATTGCCTTCTTGTTTGACTGTTGAGGGAATTTGTACTCTGAGCCTTTTCAGGCTGTTCCTGTGAGCTCCAAGGGCTGTGCTAGAGCAGGGATCTCCTGGCAGGGGCAGAAAACGGGAAATCAAACCCTGAGCTGGGCTGTGGGATCTTCATTCTGCTTTCTTTTGGAAGATCCAGATGGATAAAGTGCTCTGAGATGCACTCTGCTTCTTTGGAAAGCTCTTTTGGGCAGTTCTTTGGAATAATCTGTTTCTGAGCTAAAGCTTGTCTTTGATAGTATTCCTGCAGATCCTGTGCTCTTGTCCCTGTTTGTTTTTCAAATAACATTCCTTTTGAGGAATTTTATCTGGCCAGCATGGGGAGCTGGAAGGGAGCCACGATGACTTCCTGTAATTGTTGGGAGTTACAAAGCTGTATTTAAATGAAGTGTTAAGCTACTTAAAGCATTACCCAATGACGACTTTAAATCCTCAAAGTGAGGGAGAGGTGGCAACTCTTAGTGAGAAATAACTTCTCAGAAGCTTAAAAATTGAAAAGAGTGAAATTCTTGTATTCATAAGATCTCCCAGGGTGAAGTATGAAAATCCCTTTTCTCCTTCAGTGTTACAAGTAAGCACACCTTGGCTCTAGAAAAGGGCAGGACATGAAATTCTGGCAGGGGTTCTGAATTTTGTAAGCAATGGAAAACAAGGTAGAGTTGTAAACTGAGCTCAGCTGCTCTCAGCCCTGCGGGGCTGGGGCTGTGCATGGCACCGGCTCAGTTTCCCTGGCTGGGGCTGTCAGGGGCATTTCCTGAAGTGCAGTTTCCAGTAAATGCAGTTCCTGCAGGCCTGCAGCTGGCTCAGGAGCGTGGCCAGGCTGGACAGGGCTCAGGGTTCTGCTCCAGTCTGGATTTGCTCAAACAGAACCAAGGGGCAGCTTTGCCTTGGCACAGCTCAGCTGGGCCAGCAGGAGGGGGTGGCCAGGCTGCCTGGGGGAAATGTGAGCTAGAAATGGAGCTAGAAATGGAGCTAGAAATGGCTGTTTCAGCTTTTTGCTGTTTCTCTCATGAATAATCCCAGTGTGGGATTCCTCTCCCAGGTGTGCTGCTCTTGTTTGTAAATACTTTTTTTCACTGGGGGAAATTGAAGCATAATTTAACCATGGTGTTCAAACATCTGTCAGCCTGCCTGGAACCAACCTCCCTGGGCATGTAAAAAATGCTTTATTCACTGGGCTGGGGAAGAGCTGCTGCTTTCCAGAGCAGCTCTGTGTGAGGGGGCAGGATTAGCACAGATTATGCTATATATAAACTGCTCTGCAGGGCTGGGGAGGGAGGGAGAGGGTGAGGTGTGTGTATAGGTATCCCTCTTCTAGTCAGCGTTGGGTTGAGTTGAGAATAAACACAGCCAGAGGTAGGAGGAGATTGTTTTTAACTGTTTCAAATTAATTATTAGCAAGTGTATTCAAAACGTTTAGTTGCAAACTCACTTTTTAGAAAGAAAACTGGTGGTGTCTATTTAAAACTGAGGGTGTGGAAACCTCAGCGGTGCTTTTGTGGTCACAGCAATGAAATGTTGTCCCCTGCTTACTGTTCATGGGTTTGCATCTCCCCAGGAAACCAGCAGACCTTCAGAATCTGGCTCCAGGCACTCACCCCCCCTTCATCACATACAATGGGGAAGTGAGAACAGATGTGAACAAGATTGAAGAGTTCCTGGAAGATGTTCTGGCCCCACCCAAGTAAGTGTTAAACGGATGGTTTGTCACCTCAGGCACAGCTCTCACAGGGGATTTCTGCCCTGAGAAACTGAAGACATGGAATAGTTCTTGCTTGTCATACCTCCTCCCCTCAGCTCCCTCATCTTTAGATCAAAAACCGTTTCCTCTGTAAGATTATTTAAAAATGATCCTTTGTGTGCCCCAGCCATCCTTTCTGCACTTTCAAACTCTCCCTTTTGGTGACAGGCACATTTGTGTCCAAATAATGCAAATGAAGAGGAGTCTGCTGGACAAAACTTACTCCTAAACTGTAGTGAGAATTTGTTTTAATGTGTTCAAACTGTCTCCAGACTCTTGGCTTTGTACTCTTCAGCTGGCAGGCAGATCCAGACACTGCCTTTAACAGACTGGACTGTTTTGTCTTTTCAGCATGGCAAAACTTCATGTTTTTGTTAAGAGATGTGGAGTCCACAACTCTCTGATGCTAATTGAAGTGGAAACCCTGTATTTTGCTGACAGATGAGTGATGTGCTCCCTTGGCAGCCCTGACTGAGGGAGCTCTGCTGCCCTGGGCTCCTCAGACACTCTGCTTGTACCCAATGTCTCATTCAGAAAGCAGCAATGTGCTTTTTTTCTCTCTGGAAAAAGTTTAAGAACCTCAGGGTGTGATGCTACAATTCAGGAGCCAGGCTGGAAAAGGATAAATCAGTACCAAAATGCCGTTTTGTGCTAATAAATAGATAATGAGCACCATTCTGCTAAATGTGCTGTAGATCTGCTCCTTGCTGCTTTTCAGGTACCTGAAACTCTCACCAAAGCACCCAGAATCCAACACTGCTGGAATGGATATATTTGCCAAATTTTCTGCTTTTATCAAGAACTCTAGACCAGAAGCTAATGAAGGTGGGTCACTGGGGGGCAGTGCACTCCTGATTCACTGTTTGTGTTTTTCAGAGCAGCTTTGTGGGAAGTGTCTCCCTGACAGATTCAGCTGCATGTTGGTGCACACTTGAGAGTCTCACAAATTAAAATCTTATTTAAATTTAATGTTAGAGATTTCAACATTTGAAAGAGAATTTTAATCAGAATTTCAGTGGGGTGTGCATGGTTTGTAAATATCCCTGGCACTGGATCTTTTCTGTGCAGCAGCCACTCACAACTCTTGGATGAAAGATAAATGTTTCAACATCCAGAAGCAAATTTCAGGCAGAGTTTGTTGAATTTCTGTGCATCTGCTGCTCTTATTTCACCTCTCTAGGACTCAGGGCTCCCATTCAGAGTTCCGAGCTAAGCTTTAGTTTGTGTCACTTCCATTAAAGGATTAAAACCTTTCTGAGTGAGGGAAAACAGGAGATTTCACACCAGGGACCAATAAGTGGTGAAGAACTCACAGCTGGGCCTTTAAGTAGTTCAATACAAATCAATTTTGTCCTCAAATACTTAGAGGGAAAACCAAACTCGGGGAATCAGGGTTCCTTTCTGCTGCAGTTCGAAGGGAGAGATGCAAAATATTTGTAAACAGTTGGGAAATAACCGGGGATTTTCTGGGGTGTGCTGCCCTCTGCTGCTGCATTCCATAAACCTTCTGCTCCATTCCCAATCCTGCTGTGCTCCTGCACCAGCCTGGGTGCCCTGGGTTGGTCAGGGCAGTTTGCTGAGCATGTGACATTAAACAGATTATGTTTAAATGTATATAAACCCCAGCATAGCTTAATTCTAATCAGTTTAAGCCAGTTAGGCACAGTCTTAAGAAACGGACATAAGCCACTTTTTAAACCAAAAATAAACCCTTGTGGGCAGTCTTACAGTATTTTAAATTAGTGCAAACTCCTGTGTTAGCCAGCTTTTAAATAACCTGCATTTGTGGGATATTTAAAGAGATTCTGGTCCAGTTTCAGTGTTCTGGTGAGCACAAAAAGTGACCAAGGGTTACAAATCCTTGAGCGTAGACCAGGGATGTGGGGTTTGTATTTCAGATGTGGTAGCAGCCTCAGTTTAATGTTTGTTTTGAATGATTCCCTTCCTGTGCAGCCTTAGAACGTGGCCTGTTGAAAACCCTGCAGAAGCTGGACGAGTACCTGAACTCGCCCCTGCCCGATGAGATCGATGAGAACAGCCTGGAGGACGTCACCGTCTCCACACGCAAATTCCTGGATGGCAACGAGATGACCTTGGCCGACTGCAACCTGCTGCCCAAACTGCACATTGTCAAGGTCAGACCTGGGGGGCTGCAGGGGAAAATGCAGCAGAAAATGTCTGTGCTTTGTGTTATTCCTGTGCACAGCTCATTGCAGCTGTCTGTAAGCTCGGCTGCACTGGGAGCACCTGAGTTTGTGCAAGGTTTGGGTCACTCAGAGGGCTCTGAGCAGTGGAGATCAGGGCAGGGGTGAGTGTGGGCAGCACAGAGCCCAAACCCCATTCCCTGCACTGCCCTCGTGGTGCCAGGGAGCTGCAGAGCTCACGAGGAGGAGGAGGGTGAAGGTCAGGTGAGCAGGGAATGGCTGAAGGGGGCTGCTCACTTCTGTAGAGGAAACTGCTGCAGAGCAAAGTAAATGTCACAAATAAAGAGATCATATAAATAACCAAGTTGGAATCTTGGAAGAGGCAGCCTGGGACAGCCACAGGAGTGCAGATGTGCCCACAGCTGTGTGGTTTGGTTCCTCCCCTGCCTGCAGTGCTCTGTGTCAGCTCTGTACTGCAGATGGAGCCACAGGCTCAGGTTCTGGCTGCCTGCAGAAGAATTTCCCTGGGTGAGGAGAGTCCCAAGGGGAGAGAGGCAGGAACAGCCTCTGCAAACTGCAGGAGTGTCCAGGCTGGGAGGATAACTTCACTAGAGAATGGCCAGGGCTGGAAAAGTGTTTTAAGTCATGGATGTAAATTTATAACGTAATTCTGTCCTTCCAGGTGGTGGCCAAAAAATACCGCAACTTTGAGATTCCCAAGGAGATGACAGGGATCTGGAGATACCTGACAAATGCTTACAGCAGGGATGAGTTCACCAACACCTGTCCTGGAGACAAGGAGATTGAAATAGCTTACAGTGATGTAGCCAAGAGACTCACCAAGTAACCAGCACCTGCAGAGGATCAGGTTATATCCCATAACAATGCTTCTAACAGACTGCTCTTTTCATATCAATAGCAATTGGTTTTTGCATGAACTCGCAGTTACTCCAAGCCACGTGGATAGACCAGGTACAGTAATTACCTAAAGTTTGCAGACTTTAATTACAGGCTTGTTTTTCCTGACCTCCTCTCCCAGCCTCTGAGCGTGGTGGATGCAGTCGTGTTCCTGTTGCACTGGGGTGACCCTGGATTCTTCATTCTGAAGGGTTGGCTCGCCCCTGCTGCTTCTCTCTGTAAACATCTGGTCCATGATTTGTCCAGGAATTGGTTTAGGATCCTGTCTCACTGTATGGTACAAGGAATATTTATGTATTTTGGAATTTATTGCTTTTCCAGAAGATCTGTACACACCTGTCATACCTGTGACATGTTGAACTGTACCTGCTTGTCTATCCTATTTACATAGAGAAGGGAACTTAGTATCCAAAAGAGCCATTTGCAAAATATTTGGCAATGTTTTGTTGGTTTGTTTTGTTGTATTTTTATAAAATCTCTTGGATTTGAAGTCACGGTGATGGTTGAGAATGGACTCAATGTGAACCTTGGATTTGAGTGACCTCAGCATCAGGGGAGTTTGAATCCAGGCCTGAGAGCTGGGGCAGGAAGCGCAAAGCTCAGAGTTGATTTTTTTTGTGTCTTCAAGAGCTTGAGGAGATTTAAACACCTGCATTTGTATGAATTTTGAGTTGCAGCAAACAAATAATTGTCAGGATTTTCCATCAGGAAGCAGCAGAGTTGGAAGCTGCCCTCTGTTCACCTTAAGAATTGCAAGTGGCTTTCTTTTTGGTAGTTAAGAGCCTTTTTGTTTTGTATAGGTATTTTTGGTGATTTTTACTTAAGAATCTGTTCTGTCATAGCCCAAATCCATGGCAACTGTAGTGTCCTAACTCTGGGTGGGGAATAGCAGTGCAATGATTAGTGATGCAAAATGGACTGAGAGCCATGAAATGGGAATTTTTAATGCCCTTTCTTCCCTGAAGAAAGCTAAAGTGACCTTTAAAAAGAACATTTGCCTTAAATGATAGTAGGGTGTTTTTTTTCCTGAATGGAAACCTGGGAATTTTGTAAAGAAATGGTGGTGGAATCCAGTCCTTTCCATGGAATTTATCCCAATCGTTTCTGTGCACCTGCACTGCAGTTTTGCATACTCATAATCATTGCACTACTATACTTAAATCTTTTTACAGCAACACTGAGGAATAGCACTACAATTTTTTAAAAGCAATTTTCAAATGTTTCTAAACCAGGGAATAGTTTTCTTGTTTAAAATTAATGGTTTTGATGCACGAAATAAACTGCTAGGTTATTTTTAAAAGACCATCATAAACAACTCCAAAGAATGCTAGACTTATATGCCTATTTTTTTGTAAAGATACTTTTATATTTAACTGATTTTAGAAGCTGGAAAGTGCTATTCCTGCTAGGTTGTTCTTGGAATATTTAACATTCTGCAATAACGTGGAAATGCTGACACAAACACTTTTATACACTAATTGTTTTCTTTTTTTT